TAGAACTTTGGAACATAAGAACTTTGGAACATTAGAACTTTGGAACTTTGGAACATAAGAACTTTGGAACATTAGAACTTTGGAACATTAGAACTTTGGAACATTGGAACTTTGGAACTTTGGAACTTTGGAACATTGGAACATTGGAACTTTGGACCATTAGAACTTTGGAACAGATTCTCACTCACCTGAAGAGCCTCAGAGTTTTTACAGGTGAGAAACTAAACCCCGCCATTAACCGCCTCTCTCTTCTTCACCGCCTCGCGCCTGACTAGTGCTCAGCAGCAGTGCGCTCAGTGCTGCCACCGGCGGCCGGGAGACACATTACAGCAGTCAAACAGTAGAAGCGTTTGTTTTTTACATTTTATAAAAAATTCAGTTTCATGAAATAATGATCATCCAACTTCATTTCAGTGGTTGAATAGTTAACACACTATTTACACGTCTGTTGATTGGTGCATTATTAAAACCAATATATAGAATTGATCGATGGATTCAGGTCCACTGAAATAAAAACATGTTGGACACACGTATCATGTCCTGATGTTCAAAAGAACGTATTGGACTCAACAGGAAGTCAGACATTTTGAATTTTAAGGTATGCAGTCTATGGTGTTAATAGAGGCCCCTGGGCTCAGATACGCTCTGCGTCCTCAGCTGGATAAGAAAACAACATATGCGGTCTTGACTCTGCCCTCCTGCAGAAACCCTGAGGAATTCTGGGAATGAGGATCAGCAGCAGGCCTCAGTGTTCAGCCAACAGCTGGCATCCAGTTATCAAACAGTAAAAACACATGAAATCATGCTGGAGCTACATAGACCCAGTGGAATCTGTTAAAGCTGATCCACAGGACATGAGTCAGAGCTGGAGACAAAACAACTCAGATCCTTTACTTCAGTAAAAGTATCAATAAAAATACTCAGCTCCAGTAAAAGTCATGCATGTAAATAATAAAAGTTCATAATTAACTTAAAGATCATGCTTCAGCAGAGTTTCAGGGTTTGAACGTCTTTGTTTTGTGTGAAGTTTGTCTCGTGAGCTCCTGCAGCTGAAGCAGGAAACAGAGCAGAGTGATAAGACTGATGAAGCTGCAGGTCTGAACTGAACAAGCCGGACACACAGACCATCATCCGTCAGCTATTGTGTATAAATAATCTGCATCTTAATGGATAATGAGTTGAAAATAGTCTGACATTCTTCTTCTACTGCTCTGGAACAAAAGGGTGAATTCTCAGTGAGTGGGAGTTTCCTGTCTCACCCCGTTCTTGGAGAAAACGCTGTTCATCCACTTGGTGAAGGTTTTCTTCTGGACCGTCATCCTCTGCTCCTGCAGCTCCCTGACCCGCCCCGCTCCGTCCTCCTCGCCCTCCATCCTGAAAACAGAGAGGAGACTCAAACACGATTCAAGAGACAAAACCTGCTTCACTTCTGCAGACAAACAAACGACGGCCTCAAAGTACAGCCGACCAACACGAACACAACTGGCTCTAAATGCATCTACGATGAAGCGATCGGTACTGATCGATGGATTCAGGTCCATTCATGTATGAAATAAAAACACACGTTTGACATGTTGGACACATGAATCATGTCCTGATGTACAAAAGAGCGTCTTGGAGTCAACTCAACAGGAAGTCGGACATTTTGAATTTTGTGGTCACTTTTTGGC